TACTATGGTCGTCAATGCACGGCTATTGCAGTAACAGCATGCTGTAAAGCTCATGCTCTCAACCCTAATGTATGGAATTCTAAAACTATTGACGACTGCCTCATTACTGGTGATAAATTATTTGAATTATCATATACCTATCTCCCCAAACAATACAATAATATTCCATATCTTAGAGTAGAAGAATTACAAAAAAAAATTCATTTCACTGATGGTTGTGAGGTAAGTATGTCAATTTGTTTTTCAATAAAACCCCACATAAAATTACGTGTTTTATTATTGTCTAAATATTTATTCATTAAACAGATTACATATGATGTTCAAAACAATGCAGTATTTGATGGCACATCACTCAAAAGTGTAGCAACTATAAATGATGACGGTTTGATCAATTACTGCATAGAAGATGCGTTAATATGCTTTTTTCATGAGTATGACTATGGAGTACTTACATGTCAGGTGCAATCTATAGCTATTTTCAAAACTGGTGGTATGTATTACATTGTAGATTCTCATAAAAGAGGTAAGACTGGACTCACTGATACTCTCCATGGGACAGCAGTACTCATAACTTTTGCTAATATAAGTGAAGTAGCAATTCACGTAAAAAGATTATTCTCATGTGTAAGATGTCAAGTTCATGCAGTAGTTACATGCAATAATTGTCAATTTTCAATTACGCCAATAGTAATTACATCGTTGACAAATGTATGTTCTAATTCAAGTGCTATTCCTCCCACAACTTCAGAGACTTCAGCAAATTCTATTCTTTCTGATACAACAAAAAAGTTGTCATCCTTACAATTAGCAAGAAATGCTAAGAAACTAAAAGGAGAAAAGAAAGCTGAAAAGCAAGCAAATAAGGTATCTAATTTTGCTACCAAAAAAGAACATACCACAAAGAGTACTTCAATTTCTCCTGTAAAAACAGAAACTGATATCAATGTAAAAGCAAAGCAATCTGAAGAAATTGATAAGAAATATAAACGAACAGATGAGATGAAGCAACAAAATCTGAAAAAAATGCGTGAAAAATATCAAACAAATTCAGAAATAAGAGAAAAGAAGATACAGAATCAAAATACAAAGTACACGACTAATGAAACATACCGTGAGAAGCACAGTTCAGAAATGAAGGAGAAATATCAAAATGATGAAGCATATCATAATGCTACACTGAATAAAGCAAAAAATAGACCTATTACTGCTGAAGGGACAAAAAGAAAACTGACTTATCAAAAAGAATATACAGCCAATAAAAGAAACTATTATAAGTCCAAAACTGGTCTACATTTAAAATTCAATGATCAAAAAAGAGAAATGCCTACAATTATCTGTATATGTTGTGCTCAACTATTTTTTAAAAAATCAACTATAAGTGAATGTAAGTTAAAAGTTCCCTCAAATTTAGATATTACTGAAATATGCACATATAGATGTCACCTTACAGAAAATGAAAAAGGTGATATATGTACTACTTGTGCAAATAACATTAAGAAAGGTAAGATTCCACATTTCACTGCTTCAAATGGTTTAGTCTTTCCTCCACTTCCAGATGAATTAAAAGGTCTCAGTAATCTAGAAGAAAGATTAGTTTCTGCTCGTATTCCTTTCATGCAAATTAGAGAATTAGGCTATCAAAAACAATTAGGATTGAGAGGTAACTGTGTAAATGTGCCTATAGATATTAACAAAACAGTAACATGTCTTCCAAGAATGGATTCTGAAGATGATACTTTACTGGTACAACTAATGAGAAGAATGAGTGATAAAAATCCCTATGCATATGAACACGTAAGACCAGAAAGAGTATTTAACGCAGCAAAGCTATTGGTAAACACAGAATTATACAAAAAGCATAACATAACTCTCAATGAAAATTGGCTACAGCAATTTCAAACACAAAGTGAAATTGACAATACAAATAGTTCATCTTGTACTGACTCCAATTTAAATGAAGTATCTGAAATAGATGACTTAATGGATCACCAAGAAACATTATTAACAGGTGGATTTATTGCAGACAGTGGAATAAGAATGGCTCCAGGAGAAGGTCAAATTCCACTCTCT